CCCCCCCCCCCTTTCCCTTCATCGTAGAAATTACAGTCTTAGGAGGTACAGAAAACTCTTAAAAAAAAATAAAAACAAAACATTGGAGAAATCTAAGTAGTGTTCTACTTATATTTCCTGGCTTTATTCAGCTACTTGAATTTTAGTGCTACATTCTCATCATCTGACCTCAGATTCGTGTTCCTCGTTAAAAATCAGGGAAGATTCTCGTATCAAACGTCTAAATCGAGCGTGGGAAAGTGCTTCATCAAGAGGTAAGGATTTGGCGAGTTCCACGTGGGTGGTCCTCCTTATACGGGAACTGAGTCGGATGAAGAAGAATGAAAAGGAATTTAAGCGCCGGCCGGCGGAAGTACGGAATCGCATAGGTCAGCGGCGCGCGTGGCACAAAGGTGTCATTCAAGGTTCAAGGTCACACCAATATTGCAACCGGTCGCCTGGTTCAAAATTTGCCGTAAAATTCCTATTTTTAAAATGCGGAACAAACGCAAGGCGGATAAAGGATTCTTTATCCGCCTTGGAACAAACGGAATGAACCGGGTACGGCAAAAGAACGATTTGTCTCTGAATGATGCTTGGCAAGCTGGCAACCTCTGCTGGAGAAAACAGGAAAACAGAAAGCCGCCGGTTTTGAGGTTATTAATCAGAAATCATCATTCCTTACAATAACAACACTTTGTGATCGAAGCAGCTTTGATGATCTGATTACGTGTTTTTGCATATTTTCATTGGACCTGTGGTATACTCAGCAACTTGTTATGCTTTCCTAAATCTTGTGTGAACTTGTTTGAGTGAAAATATTCTCTACACGCTCTGAAGGGACGAAGGGACTCAGGTTCCGACTCTGATTTAATTTATTTTTTTGTCTGATTCACATCACATAATGGCAGATGGTAAGATGTCTTACATTTCACTATATTCTCTTTGTCTGCGTAGCTATCTACTTTCGAAAACTTAATAATTTCCATGTCCCCAAATTTGTGATTTCCTTAGGGCTTCTCATGATGTGCATTCTCAACGCGAAAGTCAGAGCAAGGATCAGTCCAGGCTGAATTCTCAAAATCCATTTAATCGGCTCGTCAACCCGCTGAATTAGCTCCATCATAAATGTCCAGTCGTGTCCTCAAACAGCTGCAGATAGCCAGCGCCGATAGCTCTGATCCTATGAAGCGACTCTAAGATCTGTTTGAAAGTTCCGTTAGGGAAGCTGGTGTCCCCTTTATGTGTATTATGTACTCCTGTGTGCAGAATCTGATGCACTACTCCACAGTAGTTGCAGCTATTATTAATTGTGGAGTTTTCTGCGACATGTATGTCGGAGCTTGGATATGCTGCCAAGATTACGCAACTTCCTTAGTTGTTTCCTGTAAATGGAACAAACATACACATTAATAATTTTTATGCTAATCAAATGAGTACTGAAAGTATAGAACATTTACAAGGAAAATCACAATCAATGCTTCTGAATCGCTCCGCTGCCAGTGATGCACTACGCAGCTTAATCATAGCTCAGCATTTGAGAGGTCATTCAGCTTCTCAAGATAGAGAACTCTTTTATTGTTAGTCGCTTTTACAAGTTAGTCGCTGATAATGCTATCACCTTCAACATAAAACTGTCATCTGAAGTTTTTTGTTTCTTTTTGCTACATCAGCCTCACTAGTAGAAAAAAACAAACAGTGAGTACTAGCAGAAGTATTCTGTGTACTTGTTTTCTGTTCAATAGTATTCAATAATTTTAAGTTACATTGTTAGCTTTGAAACGTATCGACAGCGCAAGTTTGCAATCTTATATCTCGTTTGCGGTGTCTGAAAATCTCCGCCTCTATGTTATCTTTTTATAGGAGAATAAATTGACATCATTACTTGAAGTTTTTGCAGAATTTTTTTTGCACAATGAAGAAAAATCACGGCAGCTTTAAAGAATTGCCTTTGAGTAGTTTTCCGTCTAAAAAATAAAGTATGACTGGAAATCGCAACCCGAATTATGTGATTACCGACTTACAACGTTGGTATACAGATTTTCATTACTCTTTGGCAATTTATTATCATCTACCTAACCTCTAATTTTACACAGGGAAAAGTCCCGCTACTCAAAACGATTTGTTCATGCAGTTTCCAGTCAGTGATCAATTCCTCAGCAATCAGTCCCAATTTCTTATGACCCTCCGAGTTCAGACTTATTATTTACGGTCCTCTGAATGAACTGAAGTGAACTAATCAATGCTTTGTTTTTCCAGAGGATGTGATCCGTCGCCGTCTCTTGATTGATGGAGATGGAACAGGAGATGATCGCAGGCTGAACGTCCTATTAAAGTCTTTCATGAAGTGGTGTGATCAGCCGGATACATCAGTAGAAAATAAGTAAGCTTCGACTACCATACATTTTTATTACCAAGTTACGAAATATCAATGGCAAAACTATCAAATTATGTACCTCAAAAAACCCAAATATTGGCTTTAAGGTCTCTATTTCCATGGATATCTTCTTTTATGGACTTATAAATCTGAAAATTAGTATTATCCTCCATATTCTTCCAAAAGTCTTCTTGACACATTTTGTTGCTAGCCAAATGCATCAAATTCAACTGAAAATTCAGTGTAGGTAATTTATGTTACAATTAATTTATTAGTTATTTCTTGGAATTTTTGAAATGGATTTTCAGGACATTTATTGCTATGTCTATCTATTAAATTTAGCCTTTGATCTGGTCCACAGCGAAAAAATGAAGAACAGACTCCTATCATTGATGCTCCTTTGTGAACATACTTTCAAAAAGTCACGACTGGTAGCAGAAATGAGCACCAGGGAACTAGAAAACTATGAACACATTTCCAAAGAAATTGAACAGAAAATAGAGGAAACGAAAAAAGAAATGGAGAAGACAAAGAAGGATTTAGAATCGGGAAAACTGATCAGAAAAAATAGGATGGAGTACGACATTCTAGCTGAAATAATCAAGCAGCATCCAGACAGACTAGAAACTACAGAGAAATTAAAACAGATTGAGAAAGAATTGATTTCTCTCAAGGTATGTACCCTCTTTGATTTAAACTTTTGTACTTTTTTAGTACTTCGGCTCTTGTCCCTTAAGGGAAAAAATAAATTGAAATTCATATGTTCAAGTTTGTTTCCTCATAATTTTTCACAAAAGCATAGATGTCACAGTGACAGCACTAGATATCTTAGTTGACAGCACCAGCATTTACAATGTTTAAGGATAGTGCTGTGACAATCTGACCCTTGTGATAGAGTTTGTTGTATGCACAGAGCTAACTGTAAGCACAGCAGGCATTTGCCTAGGACCAAGAGTAGATTCTGTAACTAAATTGAAAATGAAAGTAGCAGCATGTATATCCGTGGCCAAAATCGGAACTTGCGTACCTCAGATTGCAACATTGTCTTGGCTCTTGTTTCACTTTTTTTTAAAGGAAAACCATCTTACAGTTTTTTCTAATTTTGTCCACAAATTTTCGTCACCCATCCCTATAATTGACACAAAATTGCCAGAAATCATTTTGAGTAATTTTCTTAGAAGAAAATTAAACACAGTCTGAGATTTTAAGACATTGCAATGGAGGTATGCAGTTTCCTCATTTATCAACAAATGTATATTTTTCTCTTTTGCGTTTTCCAGGTACTGCAATCCCTCGTTTTAATTTAGTAATTTAGTTAGATAGTTAAACTGATTCTGATTGAAGACTGGCAAATTTAAATTTTAATCAGTTTAACTCTTTCCTACATAAATGCACCATCTGCATTCAGAAAAGCCGTATCCTCCTTGTAAGGGTTTGGCCATTTCTCAACAATTTCTACTAGGAGGTTTTTTTTGTTGCTCCATCTATTGAGTAGAATCTACGACCCTAGACACTTCTTGACAGATAGCATTCCGATTTGTTTGTGTCATAACTAGTTCCTATTGTGGGACATGCGGACGTAGAATGTAGCCTGGTGATAATGAGGTTTACTGAAGAAAGCTCTTATCTTTTGAAATTCACAATGTAATTGCAATTTTTATTCTTTTTTTCAGGAAACTGAAGCAACTGTAGACAAAAGGATCGAAATGCGGCGGAAACAATTCCATGTCATGATTTCATCGATACATCAATTAGAAGCAATCTTAAAAGCTGATAAAGATAATATTCTAGATAATTCTTATGATGCATTTGACGATGATGATTTAGATTTACTTGACAAGAAATCCGATTCAGAAATGATTGTTGAGTAACTGTACGTATTACTTTTTTACCTAAGTGTAATCAAAGTTACATGAGTCAATTAAGTTCAAGATAAATATCATCTCGTCTTTCACATACCTCATCCAAAATTGTATCATTACGTGCGAGTTGCTAACCATATACACCTAATGTAATGGTATTGTGCACCACCTAACAGAAAAAAACAAACCAAGCCCAAAAATCATCCATTCATGTGGATTCTTACGAAAAAAGAAAAAGTCAACTTAATAACTGTCGATATGTCACAGGCAAATAGTGAAATCAGGCATTTTGTCAAATGTCTAGGCAGATAGTTAAATTTTGACGGTTTACACAATTTTGTGAATTCATTGCGAAGAGCTCATAATTTTTCAATATTTGTGGAAGAATAACTCATCAAACCTACGAACTCTTTTTGTCTCTTCCTCTCCAATTGCTTCTCATATTTTCAAATGTTGAAATTCCGAAAATTCTGAATTTTATGACATGCTGAAAATTTCAAGATAAATGGCTGCTTAGAAGCTAAAAATTGTTTAAAATACTATTGTGTGATGCAAATTTTTACTGATAATTTTTTCTCACAAGAGCAATGAACTCTTTCGTGTAAAGTTAGGAAAATAATCAAAATTGTAAACTAAGGTAGAATATTTGACTATTTGCCTAGGCATTTGACAAAATGCCTGATTTTACTATTTGCCTGCGACAGATACATAGGAATAACAATAAAATAGCCCACTAAAGCAAAAATGTTTCAGTACATGAAGTGATTGAAATTTTGGGATTATCGTTTTTGACGTTGAGATTTAGTTTCTCAGTATGCTGAATTTTTTTGTGCATTTAAAGAATGCATAAAATTCAATGGTCAGTTTAATCTACTTTGATTTCGTTTTTCTTTTTGAAAGATTGCAAGAAGTTTGAATTGCCAAAATCTAATGTACATCATCCATGCTTTTTTCGAACTTGTAATTTGATTTTAGAATTTTAAATGTGCCGTTTACACTCCACATAGATTTCCAACATTGGACACATGTCTGGATTGGTCTTTCATTCTTACTGTGCATAGTGGTTTACTCTGCCACGCAAAAGAATAAAAAAAACTGGCTGTATGAACATTTAAAGGTAGCCAAAATTTCCCTTAATGAAATATGTTTGTGGCGCAAGTCATAAATATTTTGCAGTGAAATTTTCAGAGGCTTCTGATAAAATTTTGAGAAAAATTGTTTGTGAAAGCAGAAAAAAAATATCAATGAGCTGCTCAGAAAATTCGTATCTTATCTAAAGGAATTTGGCAATGTCAAAAGGCCGAAGCAGCTTCCTTTTGCTGGCAGCGGTGTTATTATTATTATTTTTTTTTTTTTTTTTTGTAAAAAAGAAATAGAGCTGCACAATTTTAGGCACTACCTCAGTACACTTCTGGCTCTCTATGTACAACAGAACATTTTTCTTTAAGAGAAAAGCCTTTTCCTGGAATGTTAGTGAGCTTTTTTATAATGAACAATGTTTGAAGTTTTATTTTTTTTTTAAATGTACAAATTCTTAAGTCTATTAATATTAGGAGTAGTAGAAGTGAATTAATGTTTTGGGGATTCTTTTGGACTAATATTTGCTGTCTATCGTACCTCAAACACTTCTATGTACATACCTGGAATGAGAATTTACCTGTCAAAAATTGGTTTGTCACCTATGAATGATCTCATTATTCCTTAAAATGAATCAAATTTTGAATCTAATCGACTCCTTCATTCATTCTCCTACCAAATATGTATTCATGACAGCACAAATTCGCGAGGAGACTACTACATTCATTTTTTACTGTCAATGGAAAGGGGACCCCGGTGCCAAAGAGTAATTTAGTAGTGCAATTTAAGAGAGATATTGCATACAAGAGTGTTTCAAGAATATTTTAGCAGTAAAATCATCAAAATATGTTAAATTAAGCAGGAAACAGGATGGTCTGAGAAAATCGCCCTTCAAAAAACTGAGTTTTGGAAAGAAGCTATGTATCTAATGTTTGAATTGTAATGCAATTCCATGCTGTTTAACAGTATAAAAGAACCCATTTCTTTTACTTGGCCTAATATACGCTGCTCTTTTCAGTAGTTTTTTCAGTGTGGTTTCTTTAAAGAATCCGACTCAATCTGACACTAATTAAGGACTTGGGATGAAATGGGCACTTCACTGTCACAAAGTTATATAAACTCTACCAACAATTTCTTTTTAGTGAGGAAAATACTGGATCATTAAACTTTTGACTCGTGTCAAAGATGCTGTTAAAATATGGAGAATACTCACTTGGATTGTCATCTCTTTTTGAGTATTTTTTCCAGTCAAGAGTAAAATTGTAAAACGTAATTTTGGATCAATGAAACTGAGAATTGTCCTTTTCATACCCCAAGTCCTCAAGTGTTCTCAAGAGAATTATGCTCCTCAGTTCCATTTTTCTGTGTATGGATACATTAATTAAAATCTACTTACTGTGCAATTTATCTAAAACCATTGTTAAGATACTCTTGAANTTCTGGAGTTCATTGTAAAATTCCCCTTTGCCATTCTCTTTCGCTCATGGCAGCCCTTTGGGACAGCACAGGTTGCTAATCTAGGAAACTTTTCTATTAAACTGTGAAGCAAATGCCGAGAATGTAAGTCTTTAAGATCAAATAGTTACCTTCTTTAATGCCTTAAAAGTTACAAACTTTCAGCCGGACATTTTTATTCTTAAATACTTACTTAAATCTTATACACAAGGAAAGAATCTAACAATAACCATTTTTTCTCTTTGTATCCTACTCCCTTTTTTCTGCCGCTCTTCTACAAATCTGCAGAATATTTCCTTCGTAATAAGAGTGAAGACAATCACTATTTCAAGTATCCCTTTTTTCTCACAAAAATGTTTCACATGGTTGAGGAGCATAAATGTGCTCTTATGATATCAATGTGACATTTTGAAATTCCTTTCTCCCCACGATTCAGTTTTCGGTTGAAAATTGCGAGAGACATGATTTAACATTTTGTTTCAAAATTGACTCTTGCTAGCTTTATTAAGTTTTACACATATCCATGCGCATTCTCAAAATTCATTCATTCATTTTTAGCGCTTACGGTCTAAAATTTTGAATCGTCCAATTTACAGTATTACAATCAGGCTTAAGCAGACCTTTTCATGTCTGACAAAATAATTTTTGATCTCAACAAATTTCTTTAACAACCGTGTATCATGGATCGCATGCTCCTAAATTCGAAGTGACAAGTATTTTTTTTTTTTAAAAAAAATAAAAAATGGATCCTCGAGAGTCAATTTTTAGTCTCCTGACGTGTTTGACTGCCTCGCCGAAGAAACTACGTTTTACATCAGCAGCTGCTGAGACTCGCGCCTACAAATTCTCGTGCTACCATCAGCATGACACATAACTTTGCCACGGATGCGTGAGAATACTCTGCCTTTTTTTACTCCGTTGTCCCTGTCATTTATCACTGCTCGATCGTCTGTGCCAGTGAAACACGCATTCTCGATTTATGACGGTCCGATCTGAGACAGGCAGATGCATTATTATCGAGAAAGCGCAAGCTGTGGAAAGTTCTGTGGGCAAAAAAGCAATGTAGGGTCGGCGTTGGCTGTCCAGCATTTTTTGCTCAGCGTTTTGCTACAGAATCTTCCGCATCTACGATGCAGTGGCGTGGCGTGCTTTGCGATATATCGATTATTATGCCATTTAAACCTATGGAAAAGGATCGATAGACAGGGTGTTTGCAGCGAACATCTTAATAATCGATTCTTTACCATAGGTTTAAATGGCATTAATAATCGATGTATCGCAAAGCACGCCACGCCACTGCAACGATGAACGGCGCGGCACGTCATTTGGGAAGCTTGAGTGCCTTCAATTTTCATCCACGCAACATAGCTTACGTTCGACCACGAATAGTTGCTATTGACTCCGGGGATTGGACAGGCCGCTTCAGCTGTAGGAAAAGGGCTGGAGGAAGGAGAGCATTTCAACGTAGTTTCCTTTTATTTTCTGCTAATTATTTGGCTTCTAATCTTTAAGGCGTACAGCAACCTGTAGCAGCCATTGAGTCTACGTAGATATGAAGGTGTACCTACGTGTAACCTTATTTCGTATTTATTTTTGAATCTCGTGATGCATCAAATGTATATCCGTCGTAGGCAAATAGTCAAATCGGGCATTTAGTTAAATGCCTATGCAAATAATCAGATATTCTTATTTAGACTGAAATTCTGATTATTTTGCTAACTGAAGACAAAATATTTGTATGACGAAGGAATTCTCTGTAAAAATTTGCTTCATGCAATAATAAATAAGTTTTTTCTAGTCCTTAATTGCACACAGGTACGGAAAATTATAAAATAAATAGTTTTCACAATTTGAACAGTTTAAGAAATATGAGGAGCATTTTGAAACTGGAAATGCAACGACAGTCTGTACTTTTATGGATTTTTCCTCTCAAAATTTTTGAAATTAGAGAACTCTCTGAGAACATAAGACACCTCGTAAACTCTGAAAATTTGACTGTGTGCCCGGGCATTTGATAAAATGCCTGATTTGACTATTTGCCTGCGACATATCTAATCATAGATGGCGTAGTTGATTTCCTCTCTTCTGATTGGACGCGAGCAAATGTCAAGTATCAAGTTCACCAGGTTAGCTCGGACAACGACGCGACGTCGTCTCTGTAGAGGAATTTTTTGGCCCTTTTTAGTTTCCTCGCCCTCCCGCTATCGGCTGAATCGGCCATCGCCCCGTCATTCCAGCTAATTAATGCTCGATAAGTCAATTAAAGGCGTTTGATATGCCATGCCACTCTGCCAATAGAAGTCAAAGTTTTCCGAAGTTTTTTTCTTTCCCTAAGCACTTGCCATAGATTATACCGTCTCCCTTCTCTACCTGATCGTCAGATAACGGACCTTGAAAATTATTGCTGCTCCGTTCCATATTCGTGACTCGGACTTTCTTATTGCCAAGCTGCGAAAGAACACTAAGGCTTATCCCCCGATGACCCAGTGGCGGATTCAGGGGGGGGGGGCATGGTGGCATGGGCACTTCCCCTCGAGCCAAAATGAAGGGGGGAATAAGGAGGGAAAAAGGAGGAAAGGGAGAAAAAAAGAGAGGAGAAGTGCTCCCAAAAATTTACTGAAATGTTTCAAGACAGAACTGTATAACCAAAGTTTACTAAACCGATAGTCATTCAATAACGTATTTATAAATAGTCCACACAATAAAGTAAAATTACTCTAAAGGAAGTATCATTCGTCAATTTTTCAACTTTCAAATACTTTACAAATTGTATGCTAAAACTGTTTAAAATTCAATCTAGGAGAGCCTATTTTTGTTATAATTTTCCGGGGGAGGCCCATCGTACCCCCTGGCTCTAAAAGATGTCCCCTAGACCCCCCATTCGACAGCAGAAAANCCCCCCTCCCCCCTCCGACTCACTCTTGATCCATCACTGCGATGATCAGAGTCTGGTTTTTCTGCATTAGTTTTTCTGTCGCCTCAGTTTGGATGGAAGTGGTTAGCGATGTGCGTTGCACAGTTTTTACCGCGCAGAGGTCTCTTATTTTTGTATTAGCTCGTTTTTTACCAATAGAGGAGTTCGAGTTAGTTCTTCTACATCGTCACCATGCCTTTTTCGTGCCGTGCTGAAAGCAGTGGCGTGGCGTGCTGTGCGATGTATCGATTGATCTGCCATTTAAACCTATGGAAAAGATCGATGAACAGGGTGTCCGCAACGAACACCTTAATAATCGATTCTTTACTATAGCTTCAAATGGGAAAACATCGATTAATCGATCATTCACGCCTCGCCACTACTGGCTGAAAGTAAACCGGTTGAGCCGTGAACACGCGAACTTTTTCGATTTCTCTTCCTTTTTCCCTGCATTCGCATTTTATCATGATTGTACCGATGTTCACGCAAGTTGCCAGCATTTGCGTGAATCAGCTGTTTTTATCTTAAGTAATAATTATTTTATTTAAGTATCTAGGTTTTTTTTTTTTTTTTTTTTTTTTTTTTTTTTTTTTTTTTTTTTTTACTTTTTGTCTACCTTAAAAGAAGCGTGGTCCCGCCAGCCTTTCTCTACCTAAGGACGTTAACAACATAAAGACGTTAACAACGTCTCTATCAGCGTTATTTTAAATTGGCAGTGAAATCTCAATTTTGTTGTCAAAAATTTCTTAATTCTAGAGAGGTAGAAAACGCACCGGACATTGTGCAACATGTTCATTAAATTGAAGTGGTAAATTCTAATTTCACATGCGCCGTTTAGGTTTGTATCGTTGAATATTTGTTTGAACTCATAAATTCTTATTTTGGGGTTTTTTTGCCTGCTCAATTTTTGTGTCCCACTACCTTGGATTGGGAAGAATTTAAGGGTCAAAACAAAATTCGCAACTTATTTAAGTCCAGTTTACGTAAATTCTACGGAATCAATTTTGACGCGAAACTTCGGTTTAGTTTTCTACCTCTTACATTCAAAGATACATCTAAATTTTGGGGACAGAGCTTTATGACTCTCTAAAATATTATGCTCCCCTTTATTATCGGCGGGAAGTTCTCTTCTTTCTACCCCGCCCACTATCGCGCTGAGGGCATAGGTGCAAATCGATGGTGAATTACGAAAAATACAGATCTCGTTTTGCGGTTTTGTGGATTTTTTTCCCCCTATTTTTTTTTCTCACTGGACAGCACTAACCAGAGTCAACACTACTAAATCCTAAGTTGCCGTCTTCCCTCCTATGGTTTATTTTTTAATGAGAGAAGTAAACAGCATAACTATAGTGGCGTTAATAACGAGCACTGTAGTAATCGATTTTTTGTATAGTTCCTTGTGGAAAACTATCGATAGCTATCGATTTACGCTTTGCCATTGAACAAAACCGACTGAGGGCTAGAACCTCTGTGAATTTTCCCCAGAGTATTAAGATCAGGTATACCTACTCGCAAAATTTCATGCCAGACGTTGCCTATGAAAAAAATAAAACATCAGCGAATACTGGAAAAAAAGAAGAAAAAAAACCACATTGAATCTAGAGTCCAGACTCTTGAAAACAACGACAAGAAAAAATACTCTTGATTCAATCGGATTTAAACTTAAATCAAGAACCCAGCCTCTTAATTTGAGCGGATTTCCTTTTGATTTAAGCTTAAATCTGATTGAATCAAGAGAATTTTTTCTTGTCAATGTTTTCAAGAGTCTGGACTCTAGATCCAATGTGTTTTTTTCCAGTGAAAATAAGCTAATGTATAGATGGACTGATTCCAGTGAATGCCTTCAAAATAGGGGTACCTCGGGACACGTTTTTTTCGACGTTCACCATCGAAATCCCTATCTTAGTAATGCTTTGTATCGATCGAGGTGATTCGATATATTGATTCAACAATCGAGCCGCAGGAGCCGTAACGATGCACACTGGATCGAGTCAATAGGAGAGGTCGGACAAAATTTGGAAACTTTAAAAGCTCATAACTCCGTTTATATTCTAAACTTTGAGGTTTTAAAAGTGGCTTCGTTGGTTTCCTCGTGAAATTTTCTACTGAGAGCACCCCTTGAAAATTAAAATGTGACTTATGAAACATCGAAATTTGCATTTTTAGTTGAAAATTTCATGTCCGACCTCTCTCATTGACTCGATCCACTGTGCGATGGTGAAACTACCGAGCCACGCATCTCGGTTTGCGACTTCAAACCTTTTGGCACATTTACATCTTTCAAAGCAACCCCCGTAGCGTTGATTTTCAATCCTGTGTTTCCGAAAAACTTCGAAAATATATAGTTAGAATGCAAGAGCTGGGGTTCGAGACCCATGACTCGATAGTTTCCCCTATAGTCCCTTTATGCTGAGCGTCAAGACAACACCCCCTCATGAAGTCACAAACGGGAATAAAGATTATAGAAATTGAACTTTTTTCGTAATCTTTGATCGGCCCATTCTCAAATTCCTTTCTCCGTTCCCTCTCTCATGCCGTTTGTTCCTTGCCGAACCCGTAATTCCCTGGTCCATTCCAGAATATAATCTTTGCAGTCGGTGAAAATGTAATCTTTTTTCCCGTTTGTGACACTGTGAAGGCCTAAAATACGGGAACCAATCAGAAATGGATTCACATTGTCTTGACTCTCAGTATAAAGGGACTCTAGTTTCCCCACTGACGCGCCCGACACTCGAGGACCACCTATGGCCGCATCATACGAGCTCATAGGAATCCTTGCTCTCTCAAGTGCTGCGACCGGGCTCGCTCGATTTTCCGATTCCTATACTCGTCCGCATCTACTCCAAGACGAGCGTTGACCGCGTTCATCTTTGCTGCGGCCTCAGCGAGGTCCTGGGGGAACTCCGGCTCCGTTGGTTTCGGCGGGGACTTCGGCGGTTCCGGAGGTGGAGGCGGAGGAAGAACTTCGATCTTCGGCGGAGTTTCGGTTCTTTTGGGTGGGGTTGGGATCTTCTGGGGCGGGGTCAGGACCTTCTCCGGAGAGGCAACGGCCGAGAGCGCGGCTGGAGCTGCCGGGATAATCAAGGTGTCTTCCATTTTCTTCGAAGGCGATTCCGATGCCAACTCGGAAAGCTTGAAGGACTCCCTTACCATCTTCGCCTGCGATATGAAGATCGGGAACTTGGCTCGTTTCGTCTCGATATAGTGAGCCGCGAACTTTTCCATGATCCGCTTCCTCACGCGGCCCGTGAGGCCCAGCCTGTTATACCTCCTGCTCAAACAAACGAAAAACAAATCAAGAATAACATAAAAAAAATTAAATTCACGGAAAAAAATTGAACGTTGATTTAGCATTTATACTGTTAAAAATATGTCCGACAAGTTTCAAATGCTGATTTTACAATACAAAACTGCTAACATAACATTTTAATTTGTACGTTTTGCAGTGAGCGTAGTTAGGTTAGGAATTGCTGAAATGTAAAATTAGCATTTGAAACTTGTCGGACATCTTTTTAACAGTATAAATGCTAAATCAACATTTAATTTCTTTCCGTGTTGAATTAATTAATTAAAATTAATGTTTACGCCCGTGTGAGAGGAGCGGAGGGGCTAGAGTATTCTGAAGCAATTTTCATTTAATTATTTCAATTTAAAATTTACATCAAAATTTAACGTACACCATTTCGATGGCTAACGAACAATCCCGTGTAACTGCAAACTGACGATTTTGCAGAACGAGGAGGCATTTTTGTAATTTAAAGGTTAGATTTGCAATTTTTTCATGTATTAAAGCGTCATAGCAGCGCTTACTCACAGAATTTGAAAAAAACTGAAATCATCAGCTTGCGTATTTTAGACTGTAGAATACGGCAAAGTCGCTGGCTCATTTTTGCCAAAATTGTCATGCGATAATGTTTGTTAGCCCTTCGATATCAGTAATACATTCAATATATACATTGAATTGATCATGGGGCCTAGAGTAATTATTTCCCCTAATAATTTTTCTAGAACTTTCAAGTGACTGACTGAAGTTTGAAAAAAAGTACTCAATTGCAAAATTATTTCACTCTTTTCGTTGCGCTGTACTGCTTAAGGAGTGTCCTTTTCATTATGGTATATTAAGGATTCCTTTGAATCTCCTTTAATTACAGTGAAAACTACTCGGGGCCTCCAAAGGAAAAGATCCAGTGGCGTGGCGTGAATGATCGATTATCGATATTTCCCCATTTGAAGGTTTGGTAAAGAATCGATTGTTAAGGTGTTCGCAACGAACCCCCTGTTAATCGATCCTTTTCAATAGATTTAAATGGCAGATCAATCGATATACCGCAAAATAGACCACGCCACTGGTTCTAATGGTCAAATAGTTATTTGTTAAATTTTAGTGTGAGCGGTAAAAATTATATTTATAAATTCTCCGTTGTGCATAAAAGTAATGATGACAATCTTTAGGTCTGTGGAATCGTTAGGATAATGAAACATCGATTAAAAACACGGAAAATGAATGAAAACTAACACAATGTGGAAATACATGCAGCAAGGAGAAGGACGCGTGTCGATGACGGCGCAGAGATACAACTATTCATGCTTAATGGATGTCTGTGTTGCATCTGCGAAATTGAAGGCGCGATGGCGCATGGCGCGAGGCGTGAACTCGCAATGCTCCGTTTCATGCTGCCAGTAAGGTGTCGCTCGGATTTGGAGAAACGTTTTTCATCAAAACCGTGTGTTGAAAACGTTTCTCACGACAGGAATTTCAGAAATAGACGAGACCTAAGGATATACTAACACTTATCTTTAACGCAGATCGAATTGCATTATGAACCTTCGATAAGCAAAAAATCGTAGGAAGTTAGATTATACGAGTGACGTCATTAGCACACGAAGAAAAAAACCTCGTGCGTGGGACCCGAAGTTTAGGTCATATGGATCTCTAAAGTTTTCGGATTGAGCATCTGAACACTTCAGGCCTAGCTGTCGAGGTTCGGATCACAGATCTGAAACTTCAGTTTTTACATCTGAAGTACTTCAGATGTGAGAACCGAAGTCTTTCGGATGTGAAAACCGAAGTGCTTCAGATGTAAGAACTGAAGTTTCAGATGTGTGATCCGAATCTCGACAGCTAGGCCTAAAGTGTTCAGATCCTCAATCCGAAAACTTCAGAGATCCATATGATCTAAACTTCGGGTCCCACGCACGAATTTTTTTTCTCTCTGCATGTTATCGCATATATCGCAAAGAACGCTACGCTACTGAAAATATCTGTTTAAGAAACGACGATAAAATACACGGCCGATAAAAACACAACGGCCGTCTATGGGTATATTTCGTCCCAGGCATTGTTCCAACCATGATAATAAGCACTCCTCAAGTCGAGGAAACTCACCGGGTCGGTTGCGCTTCTTCTTGTTTACTCGACCATTACCAATGGGCACTTTGTCCTTGTTTTTCAATATTGTGGACAGGGTGGAAGGCGGAATGTTGAATCTTTTGGCCACATCACTTTTTTTCTCACCACTCTCGACTGCATCAATAATTTCTCGTTTCTTCCCGAAATCCAGGGATTTATATTTTCCCATTTTTACATTCACTACTACGCACTTGACATACGCACTAGCCGAATTCGCTGCTTACTAATCACCTGATCAAGCTTTTCGCGGAGGACTCACGGGACTTGTTTACATGTTGACAATCATATCAGCTCCTTCAGGCACCCAGGTACATAAACAGTTGACTTCGAATTATAGAGGGAATGCACCGTCTTATTTCGAATTATAGAGGGAAGACCTTATTTACTTCCCACACTTCGAATTACAGAGGGAATTTTTGCCGCAATTTCGAATTAAAGAGGGTCGCGCCAGCTTAAAAATTTCGAAATAACGAGGGGAGAAAAATACATTGATTTTCTTCGAATTATCGAGAGATTCTCCAGGGAAACGGACTTTCCTTCGAATTAACGAGGTTTTCGAATTATCGAGGTTCGAATTATCGATAGTCCACTGTACGACCCTAAAAGGTACCAAGTCGAGATCCAGAGAAAAATTTTGAGAGCGAACCTGTATTTTTTAGCTAGTGCTGCGCCGTAAGATTCTTCGATGAGCGACAGGAGTTTTTGAGGGACAGCACACCAGCACTTGATGCCTTTCCAGCGGATGGTGGCGACGGCCGCGAGGTGGGGCTCGAACGAGCTGGATGAGTAATAGTAGCCGTGCTTCCGGGTGCACCTCGCCTGGCAGAGATTTTGGTCCTTCAAGAAAAGACCTTTGATGTTCCACCACCCTGAACATACGGAATGACCATTGTTAAAGCAGGTACATTCAATGCGGTAGAATGTCATCAGGCAGGTCAAGATTTTAAGCACCACATTACTGCCGTGTTAAGGAAAAACGCCGTATGAACATTTGAGATTTGCCAAATTTCCTCCGGTTGAGTGATTATTTTTGAGGGAAGGTATGCATATTTTTCCTTGAAATTTTCAGGAACTCTAGGTAAAATTGCGGAAAACGTTATCTGAAAAATTGGAAGAAAAATAGTCATAAAGTCTCTAGGAAAACAATGTTCGATGGCATTTTCTTCTTTATTTCTCGACTAGAGGATTGATTAAATCTTTCGGGAGCCCCAGAGCCTGCATTCCAGAATTTGTTTCTTTCGGGGAGGGGGGGGGTTGAGGGGGTGAGACTAGAATTTCGGGTACTTCGCGCCCATAAAATCAGAGTTTTTGAGAACCTGCATGGGACTGAATTTTGATGAACTAATTATGATTTGAGTGGTCCTTCAAAAACTGCAACTCTTTACAAAGGGGCCCCTAAGATCTTGAATCAGCATCTTTTGATGTTCTTTGAAAGTAAGGACATCTGGAGCCCTTCATTATCTTGGAAATGTGGAGCGCCTTCAACTTATAAAGTATACAACCCGCAATGTGCGGGGCTTTACACCCGACAGCACCTCGGACTCCGAAGCGCTAATCCCACCCTGAGGTTACAACACAAAATTCAAAAAGTGAACCCTCAGATTCAAGAAATTGTGTCTGTTGAGCAACGACTGTTGCCTCTCATTTGCAGCCCCCTTTTGCATAGCGTGTGAACTGGGCACGAGAAGAAACTGTCCCCGCATGCGGTGAAATTGAAACCTCGTGATGAGGGTCACGCAAATTTCTCGTTTCGGATTGAATTTTTGACAGTTCTAATACGTTTTTTGTGATATTCGTGCTTTTTTGGGTCAATTAACCGCACACATCCTGTGTGCAATGGACCCAATCACTTTGATCAGCAGAAAATTGGCAACTTCCGAATTTTCATACAGTGTTCTTCAATGACAGCATTGATCGAGGAAAAACCACGGAAATCCACGTCATCCTCGACGAAAGTGCGTACCATAGTTTTTTGTACTTCGCATATTCGTCTGTAACGCATGAGGTGCAATCGAAGCGAATGTATGAATCATTGATTCACGAATATAGGGTAAAAGAGACCGTGAAATCCGCCATGGCGTCTTCAATCGTGGTTTCAGATGATAAATTTTCCATTGAAATTTAACGTGAACTCTTACACAGCTTTCATCATTTTGCTGAGCTTTATTAACTGGAACGATATCATCGCGATTCGATGAGACGCGAGACTGTAAGTCACTGAGCAGAACGGATTTTTATGCAATAATAGTCGAATATATAGTTAAATAAGTTAAGTATTAAAAACAAAAAATCATGTATTTACTTTGAAAAAAGTTACTAGACAAATTGTATTTTGAAAACCTTTCTTGTATTAACATGTAGATCCATGTGCTTAAATACGTCCAAGAGGACTGTATGACGCAATAAAGAAATCATTTTTCTGGCTATTTCTGCAGAGGCAAACGAGGCAAACCTATGGCACGCACGGTTTCTCTTTTATGATCCAGATACAATAGTTTATTTTGGCATAACGCAGTCGAATTGACCTATTCCCCTCGATTATGAAGTCGGACATGCCACACAGTGGATTGAGTCAATGAGAGAGATCGGACATGTTTTAAAAACTTTAAAATCGTATATCCTCATTAATACAAAATGTTTAAATACAAAGTAGTTTCATTGGTTTTCTCGTAAAATCTTCTACCTATAACACCCCTTAAAATTAAAAATGTGACGAGATAGGTAAACGTAAAATCTTACAATTTCGGTCAAAAATATAATGCCCGACTTTTTCCAAAGATTCGTACCACTGTGCGCCATAGTCAACATGTCTGACGCCTTCCTTCTACATGCAATTTAAAATTTCATGTATAATTGTACATTATTAGGATCGCCCTTAACTAAAAGAACCGAGCTAAAACAAGGGCTCACAATCAGAGTAGCTGTAAGCTCAAGTAGTCGTATATTGTTGTTCGGAAAACCATACTTCGACTGCGGAAATGGAGAAATTAATCATCGCGTGTAATTCCTTACTTTTTTAAGACTCTAAAATTGAAGATTTAAATTTATTTATTTTTCCTGTAACTCCCATATTTGATGTATCTTTTGTTCCCCAATATGCCAAAATTGAATGTTTTGTATCCCATAATTCCCAAAATTTAGGCACCTTTTCCTGTCCCTGACACATCCAAAATTCATGTTAAAACTTCCTCTCTGATGCCTCTCAGTCCACTGTTGCTTTAGACCCAATACATTTGATAAACTGGGATGGGATAAAAAAATTTATGAAATATATCGTTAAAATGGAGTTTTATGGATGAATGATACCTCAAACTGTTCCTCTTTGTTTCAACTTGATGATGCTTGGTCCTCCCTTTCTAAATTCTGCGTTAAAATTAACTGCCAGCTTTTCCAAAATCCAAGATCTTCCGGATTTAGAGCGAAATAATAAACACAAATTTAGTTGACACGAATAACTGAGTTTAATTTTCAGCCGTTTTCGCAAGTCATTTGACACTGATCTTAGTCTGATATTCATCATCTACTATTGAATTATGAGGATTTGCAGTGTTTTTACAACTATATGCAATGTCTTTTTTCAGCGTGAAATGATTAAAAATGAGCAGAACTACAAATCGAATTCACAGGATAGTCGTAAATTTGTTATATGTGTATATATTCTTTGATTGGACAGACGATAATATGTAGTACAATCATAGATTCTTCCATACGCTCTGCGGCTGTAATTTATCTTTCCTCCTTTGTGAAAAAAATCAGCACATTTCTCTATAATTACTATTTTTAACTCCTTAAAACCCTTTGTCAAAGCCAATCACCATCCGTCTTCACTGCAATTTTTCTCCAAAGTGAATTGAACGGACTTGACCAAAATCAGCCTTTCTACATAGGACGGTGTCTCATTTCCTGTCATGTATTATTTTTATTTTTATTTTTTAAGGAACTAAAACCACTCAAAATTCTGACTAGAAATGTTACTGTTGACTAGAAATGGATTGCATTTTGCAATTTGGACCTATAAATTCTGGCTCGTCTGAAAAAACACTTATGTCCATGGGGAATTGAATGGAACATACGTTGCGTTTAAACTGGGCCAGAATTTATAGTTCCAAATTGCAAAGTGTAGTCCAAATGTTACTTGTCTACTCTGTGCACCTACGTTATAAAAAGTTCACAAAAAGTCTCGAGATGTCGTGTTGTTTTGATTTCTGTGAAAAAATTCCAAAAGTCATCGGCAATTAGTCAACGTGAAATGTTGTTAGGTTGGTTCTGATGGAGCTGAGAAACGTGTTGAGTAAACTTACTTCTCGATTTTTGAGCTGCACTAATGCGTTGAGGCACAGTCACTATACACACAATAAAGAAAATGGCGGGCAATACTTTCATTGCCAATAAAATTTCAACTTATAAACTTATTTGACAGAACGTGTTGTTCACACTCACATCGCTGCTGCAGGGATTGATACCCTGAACCCCACTGAGGCGTTACAGTTTCTACGGACGTTATTTTCCGGCCTCGTGTAGTGTCTGCATGACGTAAACGCGCGAATCCAATCGTGCGGCGAGTTTTTGCTTATTTTCATCCGGACGAGCTCTGACGCATACGAAAAACACATAAATTGGATGCAACGTTCCAAAATTTCCACGCCTGCTTTTTTTCAAGCGAGGAAATAAGCTGACATTACGGTGTGAGATTTCCTTTGATTTCTCTTTGAGATTTCATGGTATTCCGTCGAAAATTTCACTTCTTCATGTTGATGTTTCCTCCTCTAAAATGTAATGCATGAGGAGAAATTTTAAAATGTTTCATTAAAGATGCTTGGTTTATATATGTCTAAATATGTCTGTTACGCTGACTTTTTACCGCGTAACAGACAGCACATTTTCGGAATTCACATACTATTAATTGAGAAGTAGAGCAATAAATTATTAAATAGCGTTATAATAAGTAACCCTTTGAAGATTAATACGACAAAATTCGAGTGATTTTCATTTCCACTAAAAATATGACCGAAAAATGTGTTGTCTATTGCGGCGACAAAACTATCTCAGTTATCGTGAAACCACCCAGTAGCTCTTCACGCCATAAGTCCTTGGTAGTATACTTAATGTGATAAAAGAGCTGCAACGTTGCAAACCGAGAGACGCGGTCTGCTAGTTTCACTATCGATGTGCAACAAAACGTGCTTTTAAACTGAAAATTGTAGTTTTTCTCCTAGAACCTAGGTTCATTCATGTATCAGTTCATATCTGATTCATTGTTGCCAAATTTTCCTCACTATACTTTAAACGATTCCCGGCAAAAGTGAATCATATTGGCCTTATCAGTCTGACATCACATTGCTTCGTAGAACAGATTTTTGTGATGTAAGTCTAACGAAATCCAACGTCACCCTAGTGTTAGCCGCACCAGTGTGAAGAACTCGTTGAGAATCCCATTGACGTCACACTGCCATACAACAAACGTTATGACGTCAGAGCGATGCCGTGATTACTCATAAGCCATTTTTACTGGGAAACACAAAACTGAATTTTGATCGGAGATGCCTGAAGTTAACTGAATCGTGTAATTTTTTTGAATAGGTATTATATCGGCCGACGCCTATATGAGACCACATAAAATATGAAACACAGTATAAGTAAAGCTAAAGTATAAACTTGTCAACTTCTCTCATAAAAAATTTCTATTGACACTTTTGAGCTGCGTATTACGTTCATAGAGTAGCACGGAGGGAGAAAAATCCATGGAAATCACGTGGAAGGTGACCTCCTTCGTGGTACCTGGGAGTGTGGAAGCTTTTTCGAGGGGGGCCTGCGTCAATTTACTACGCCGTTAATGAGAGATGACTGGCGGGATATTTTTATGATGAGTTACAAGAGGGTGCTCGTCGATTTGCTACGTTGTGAAATCGTAATAATCAATTAATGATTAAAATTTAATATAGGTTTTTTGCATTGATTGATTGATTGATTTTTTTTTTTTCGGTGGAAAGAGAAGGACGAGGGTGAAAAACTACCAAAAACCTCTTTTCTCCAATTTATCTGGATGATTCGTATTTCAGGAACAATCATTCTCTACAAATGTTAAATGAAGATATGTATAGAGTGACTTTCTTTTTAAAAAATAAGGTTCATAAACATGTCTATTTTGATTTAGGACCGGCTCTACCATCTGTAGTCAAATTTGACTTCTCATTGCAGCCAAACTTCACATACTGTTCCTAGAATCGTAATGCCGTTTGACTAATTTGCCATGTCAAAGTAACATTTTGGCTCAAATGGAACCTTTTTAAAACTGGTACTTCATTCATAGGTCAAGTCAAATACACCAAATCTCAACCAAATGTTGAAGGATAACAAGAGTTAGTAGAACCGAGCAGCAGGTTATGAATTAAAATAAATTAATTCAGATCGAGGTTTTGTATGTTCGTAGTTTTTTTATGGCTCTGTTAAGGTGCGTCTGAAAATATTGGAGTCTCCGCGACTTTTTCGAACCGCCATTAAATCAGGCTCCAGAAGGCTATGGAATCGTATATATGAACCGTGGAGTGTTGATATTACCAAATCACAATTCTGCAAAATTATTCTTTATGTCTTTATTTTTCAAAAATGACTGTACTTATACATATTTTCTCGATGGCATGTGGAAATTCTGGTAAATCCTCAGGAAACCGCACGTGCAACGCAGAAAACACATGTGACCATTCCTGTTCGAAAATGAATTTTTGCGGAAACTTCCCAACACCTGCCTCAGTTCCAACCACAACAGTGTGACTCATACTTTTGGATTGGAGTGAATTTTGTCTCTGATCATTCTCAACTTTCCTCGTGCGACACTTTCTCGGTATTGACACTCGATTCAAATTTCTGCTCAACGTTCCGTAGACGAGCAGACATTAATAATTGATCTGAGTTTCTGTTTTGGATGTTCAGACCCACTCTGAGGCGCAGTGTCTGTCTATACCGTGCCTGTGGCCTAGGGCACCTCGGTCTGGTAAATGGTCTATACTGCAACCCACAAGCAGATCCCAATACCAAAACAAAGAACAATGCTTCTCGATGCGTTGCGGCCTGCTCAAACTTCTTCATATATCCGATTAAAGCGTGTCCTTTAAATAAATACAGAAGATTCCAAAACGCCTTGATGATTTTTGCAGAATAATTAACAATTGAGAAGCAGGAGTAATGTCACTAAATAATAAAGGGAACTAAAATCAACAAAATAATGCAAAACAATTTGGAAAATCTCGTCATGTAAATACAGAAGATTCGAAAACGCCTTCAATTGAGGCGTGATACCTCACGCGTTCCGGAGAGTTCAAATAGTTGTATCCCTGCGCCTTAGCAAGGCGACGGAAGCTTAATATTGCAGTAGCGTCCCCGCTTGGTTTTGCGGTTTTCCTTTGCCGCTACTGCAGTTTTGACCGTTAAAGCCGTAGTTTAGGGGCGCTAAAGCCAGGATTGTAATACATAAATGGATAATTTTTGCAGAATAATTTATATTAATAGCGTCCCCGCTTGGTTTTGCGGTGTTCCTGTGCCGCTTCTGCAGTTTCGACCGATAAGGCCGTAGTGTAAGGGCGGTAAAGCCATTGCATTTCTCATATGGATAATTTTTGAAGAATAATTAAATATTAAGAAGCAGGAGTAATTTAACTTAATAAAAAAAGGAACTCAAATCAACAAAATAATGCAAAAAAATTTGGAAAATCTCGTCATGTAAATACAGAAGATTCGAAAACGCCTTCAATTGAGGCGTGATACCTCACGCATTCCGGAGAGTTCAAATATTTGTATCCCTGCGCCTTAGCAAGGAGACGGAAGCTTAATATTGCAGTAGCGTCCCCGCTTGGTTTTGCGGTTTTCCTTTGCCGCTACTGCAGTTTTGACCGTTAAAGCCGTAGTTTCGGGGCGCTAAAGCCAGGATTGTATTTCACAAATGGATAATTTTTGCAGAATAATTTATAAAAATACCGTCCCCGATTGGCTTTTCGGTTTTCGGTTTTCGGAAGATTCGAAAACGCCTTCAATTGAGGCGTGATACCTCACGCGTTCCGGAGAGTTCAAATAGTTGTATCCCTGCGCCTTAGCAAGGAAGCTTAATATTGAAGAGGCGGCGCGGAAGTTAAATTAAAAAATTATTTACGAGAACAATCAAACAACAAGTTTGTTCTTGCATGATTTTTTCGTTCATTTCATGAAAATGGAAGGCCTTGTCCACACTAAGAAAGGTTTACGGAACTGAACTTTCGCGCAAAGTTCTGTGAACTTTGCTGGGGGTTAACA